ACATCTTGGAGAAAGAGTTTTGGGGAATTATTTATCAAATGTGCAACTACTGAGCAGTAGCTCTAGTTGAAATAACTAAGTGTTCCAGACGTGAATTCTGAGAAAGAGTGAGAAACCTAACCTACTTATAATTGGCAGAGCATACCTTTCCCATTGGGTGCACACTTTTTTTTTTTTTATGTGGACAGGAGAGAAGAGGAAGGAAAATGAGTGAGATTTTCACATTTATAATATCTCTCTAGCTTTCTGTCACCTTGCCTTTTTAAACTGAGAGGGAACATGTAGTCACCAAACCTATATGAGGGGACCTGACAGGCTTTGGAGCCACTAATTTTAGAGCTTTTCTAAACACGGGCAAATGCCAGTGACTGTGGGGAAGAACAAAGTGGAGTGGATGCTCTGAGGTCCTTGGGTGATTGGGTTGGCATGGTAATGCCTTTGTCATTCGGCAAAGGAAGGAAAAAGGCTAAAAGAGCTGGTGCTGTGACTTACTGTTCTCCAAAGTTCTCGGGAGCTATGGGAGAGGTGCCTTGGAAACCTGCATGCTGAGCTTTCGGGCAGCAAAACAAGTGTTTGCTTCTCTTGTTTCCATGTTCCAGGCGGGACTAAGATACCCACAGGGATACTGAGGACCAAACATGGAGAAATTAATAATGTAATCTGATGCACAGCATACTAAACTTTTAAGAGCTGGGCCACATTGCAAAACAGTGTTATTTTGACTAATCAAATCAAATTATGGTAATTCCTAAATGACAAGGGAGGATAGTGTGATGTAATACTTTCATCAGGACAAGGCATGGTGTTCTGGGCAACTGCTTATATCACTTACATCATCAGTGAATGGTACCAACCTGCTTTGTGTTTCAGCCATCAGGAGTTAGCAAGTGGAGCGAGTGCTGGCTGGCAGGAAAAGCAGAGTTGATATGGTGGGATAAAACCAAGGACATGGCATTGTCTCAGGTTTTATCAGAGACGAGGACATGAGATGACAAGCAAGTGGCCAGTAATTGTGTATTTCTTTGGGTTTGAGAGCTTGGCTCTTTCAGAGAAGTTAGACAGCTTAACATGAAGTCAAGGGGAGCAACGTTCCTGAAACACAGTCAACAAACACCCTGAATACTGACGTTGCAATGAATTTTGGGACTCCTCAGGTTGTCATGTCCACAACAAAATTGCCTCCAGGAGTACAGTGAGGAGACATTTGATAAAACATAAGGCTTGGATCTCTTGTCCAAGAGATGGTGAGTAGAGTTCATGGTTTCTCTGAGAGCATGGTGGACAATAAGTTTCCAGGCCCGCGTACAGTGTGGTGGCCCATTGGCATTTGGAAGGATACTAGGTCCCAGAGTGTTGAGAGAATGCAGAATATGATACACGGTGATACCAAAGCACAGTTTGAAGATAGTATCTCTACTTTTACCCTCAGAAACTTAGATATTTTCCTTCTTGAAACTAACTGCTATTAAATACCCAAGTATAGGCCAGTAATTTGCTAAAATTTAAGATGAATTATTTTGTGATAGGAATTCAGTGTGTTTGTTGGTTTAAAAAAAGAAAGTCTAAAACCTTGACAGTGTCCCTGCTTCATCAGATTATTAGACCATGTCTACGCCGTTGTTAATGAGATCTATCCAGATTTGTCACTAAAAATAGCAATGGACAAATAGTAAGTGCTCGATGTGGAGGGTCACCTTGGAGCAGTTACACTCTCCTGTAATGTCAGTCACTTTTTACTCAATTTCACTAAAGTAGTTATCTGGCTGTAAAGCAGTTCAGGCAGTAATGTAGGATGTCATATATATTCCTTTAATTATTATGATCTGCCTTGTAGCAATTGTAATTTGCTTTATTGCAGATAGCAGTGAATTGGTAGATAAAAGTCACTAGACAGATAGGAAAAGTTGTACATTGTAGCTGTTAGATTGAAAGTATAGCAGCTGGTTCTTGGTTAACTCTAAGATTATTTTGGAACATCAATTAATAAGAAGCAAAAGACAAAAAGAATACTTTGTAATAACTGTAGTGCGTAACAATTCACTTGTTTGTCTTGCTGGTAGTACATGAGACGTAGGCTTTCCTTCAGTTGCAGAGGAAGAAATCTCTACATGAAGGCCAGAAGCACCTACTGAATGCTTTTTCTCAAACTCTATGAGAAAATGTTCCTTATTGCTTGCATTGCTCCAAAAAGACCATTAAACTCTGATGTTCCTTTTGGTAGCATACCAATTTTGCCCATATATGGGAAATTGTTGGTGGGACTCAGTTGTTTCCCTGGCTAGAATTCATTTCTGGTGTACAGTTGTTAGGACAGTTGATGGCTATTATTAGTACTTTTTTTTTTTTTAAACATTCAGAAGCATACATACTGAGTAACCTCTTTGAGGTCTGTCTTTGTATAATTTGTTTTTCCTTCAAAAATGGTAATGGAAATTTGACACAAAGCTCTGTTGAATAGTCAAATTCCACAGAAATGCTGTGGCTTTATTGTTTCTTATACCATAAGCCCATGGAAGCAAATCGCTATACATTATTACTGTACTTATCCCATTTATTTGGGGAGGTCAGTATATGCAAAAGGCAAAAATGGCTTCAAAAAGTCTTCTAGGTGGTCATTTTTATTGTAAAATCCAAACAGTACATTGATGAGAGATGCCAAGCCCCTTTCTTCCATACCTTCATCAGTATATAACTCATCAAGTTAAAATATACTTTAAACAAGGAGGAGATCATAATTCCTTTTCATTTAGACCCTGAACACAACTGTCCCCACACTCTGTTTATGGTTCATTATCCTCAGTTCCCCCGCCAGTGCTGCTGCGAAAGGTGAAGCCTTTTTTTTATGCTTTGACTGTGTCCTTTGTGGAGAGCTGTGACTCATGGCAGAAGCGAGATTTGTTTAGCACTCGGTCTGCATTTCCTGCCTGATGAGTATTATTTTTTTATAGTCTTACCCACCTGCTCCACTTAGCTTCCGACTCCCTCGTACGCTGTGTCATATCCCAGCGCTCGTGGCAAGGCCCAGAGGCACCTGCTGCCGCTGTGGGTATCCCAGAGCGAGATGTTTGGCTTTGCTCCCCTCCCGCTGTGTACACTGTACAGTTCTGCTCCGCGTAGGCGTTGGGTGGATGGGCCAGCTTCGTTCTTCCTGGTGGTTAAAGAGACAGGGCAGACGACTCGGTTCAGGGGTTTGAATTGTTGGTGTTTTTTAAAGTGAGTGTGATGTTTGTTTTTATTTGCAATTACTGTATCACATTATTAGTACTTAAAAACAATTTAGTGAGGGCATGTTTCAGAATTGACTAAGCTGTGAGATGGAAGTGGAAAAAAAGAAGGGAGACTGTCAGAGGCAAATATGTCACCGTAAGGGTAGGAATTATTTTATCAAGTTTGAAGCAGTTTACCCTGTCACTGTAATCATTTGCTGACAGTGTTCAAGTTGAGCTTCTGATGCCTTTCAGTGCTTTATCAGTGGACTTGACATTTGTGTAAGGTATCAGTAAGGACATAAGTACATAGGTACAGTTGCCTTTGTTGATGCCAAGGCACCATAATCCAGAAAATTTACGGCAGGATTTCAACTTCAGTATTGCCAGAAATAAAATTAATCCAAGGTGGAAGTGTCCTTTTTGAGAGTTCAAACCCTTCTTGGAATTGCTTTTCTCATTCCCTTTCTGCTTTTTTGCAACTGAGTTTCTACTATTTTTGGAAAACGTTGGCTGCACTAACATACCCAACTCGCTTTCCCTTTCTCATTGACTTGAAATTGAGGTTAACAAAGTCAATTCCAAGCAAATAGTACCTGCGAGTAATGATTTTTGTCCCAAAGAACAGCACTGACTTGAACAGTATGGAAGTGCTGATGCTCTCGCTTTGTGCAAGAGCCCACAATGACAAAGTATTCTTGTCAGAGTATATAATGAAACTATAAATTGTTTTCATGACTGCTGTGATATTTGGTCTCTTGCAGAGCACGTTCCGAAAGTATTTAGTGCCATGTCTTAGGTGAGTAACATCAGAAATAGAAATAAATGCTTTAGCATGAGCAGTGTCAAGTGATGGGTGAGAAGAATCTGCTGATTGAACATCGCGTTAAGTGAAAAAAGTTGCCTGAAACTTCTGATACGTAAGGTTCAGCCGCGGCAGGGAGGGGTGGCACACGCGTTACTCTCTCTTCCTCTTGCTAGGGCAGGGCAATGAAGCAGATCAGACTAGTCTTGCAGCTAAGATTTGCAAGTTCTGCTTTGTCTTGTGCATGAGCCCTACACATAAGCGGTGGTGGCTGGAGGGGAAGGCTCACCTCTGCCTTCCCTCCCTATTCAGGTGTTTGCAATATTCCTCCATTATTTCCCATTCTTTTCACTCAGCAAGGATGTGTGTATGGGATCACAGCTGAATTGGTGTCTGTTACCTGTGCCCGTAGGGTGTCACACTGTAATTGCTTCAGACTCAAGGTAAATTTTGGTTGCCACTCGTGCTACCCCTTCTGCTGTAACATGGTCCTGTTTCACTGTCCGGGTGGGAGGCTGAGCTCAGAGGACATCCCTGGTAGCTGGAGGGAGGAGGAGGGGAAGGAGAATGAGGTGGGAAAAGCTGGTTGCTAAGTGAGAGCTGGGTATTGCAGACGCAGGTAGAAAAGGGAGCTTGCAAAGGCTTCTTCCTTCTAGCAACCTTCCCAGAGCTGCGGATTGGATTGTGAGGTTCTTCACACTATTTCATATCAGGAAAAAGAGAAGAAACTTGAATTGCTGAATTTTTGTAGCTCACGGTGGTAAGGCGAACATGTGGCCTTTACAAATGGATTTCAGGCTTCTGATACAACAGAATTCTTTCCCATGATTGTTATTATTAAGCTAAGGTGACTTGTGGCAGATTTTGATCTCGTGCAGAGAGTTTTCCTCCGTCTTCTCAGAGAAAAACTTGAGCCTCTTGAGTCCAGTACTAGCTGGGGTAGAAATGGCTTGTTACAATTATGGTTTTTTTGTCTTCTACAGTACCTGGTGTGCAAAAGGAAGCTTGAAAGTAAAAAGGAGGCGTTGTTAATCCTTTCCAAAGAGCTGGACACCTGTCAACAAGAGAGAGACCAGTACAAGCTTATGGCTAACCAGTTGCGGGAACGACACCAGTCTCTGAAAAAGAAGTACCGGGAGCTGATTGTAGGTTGTTCTTCATGAATACTCTTAACTGGGGGATAAGGGTGAACCTCAAAAAAAAGAAAAGGAAAGAAGTCCATGATGACTGCTGTAAAAATGTCTAGGTACTTGTTTACAGTAGTCCTGCAGCTGTACAGCCCTGATCATATTATTACTCATTTGTTCCGCGTTGGTGAGGTAGTGCCTGTTATATAAGACACAGAAAGACAGTGCGTGCTCTCCGGAAATTAGTTTCAGTCATAATTCCATTTAAAAACTGACTGCGGCGTTATTATTCCACAGCAACTTAATGTACCGTTATGAAAAATAATGCAACATAAATTTGTAATGACCTGCTGTTCTAGAAATGTAAACAAATCTTCAGCCTTAGACAGTTTTTTGAGTTCAAATTAATATTGCTGGTATTAATCAAGATGCATTATTTTACAAAAATTTTGATAACATTTTAGTTAAAATATGTGTTTTAAAATTTGATCCACAAAGTTAATATAGTTGCTGGCTTCAGAAATAAGTTTTCAATAAAATATGTCCATTTATTTGTAGGATGGGGATCCATCCCTTCCGCCTGAAAAGAGGAAACAGGTAGGATTTATTTTTCAGTTGACATTATTTATCTGCTGCAGAAGTACTTTGCAAAAGTGTGAAAATATTAACTGAGACATCTGGTAAAAAGAAAGCATTTCTGTCTGTTGAAAAGCTCAGTCTTTAAACTGTGGCTTCTTGTGCTTTTGTCTAAACGTGTTTCACTCTGAAATATCTGAACTATCATTAATTAGGATATATGACTGTTGCTTTTATGTTCACCTGAGACTGAGCACAAGTCTTGTGAGGAGCAGCTGAGGGAACTGGGGTTGTTTAGCCTGGAGAAGAGGAGGCTCAGGGGAGACCTGATCGCTCTCTACAGCTACCTGAAAGGAGGTTGTAGCGAGGTGGGTGTTGGTCTCTTCTCCCAAGTGACAAGAGAGAGGATGAGAGGAAATGGCCTCAAGTTGTACCAGGGGAGTTTTATATTGGATATTAGGAAAAATTTCAGAGGCAATATAATTACTCCTTCAGGCACTTAAACAAATAGCTGCCAGGAAGTCAGTGGCTCAGTGTAGAATCATTTAACGTCCTCATTATTTAGCATAATTTATTTGAAACTCTGTTATTTCAACAGAGTTCTAATAAAAGTTTATGACCAGATACAGGTTTTTGCATTCTGACTACTAAAACTGGAGCTGAACAGTATACAATTTAAAGGGGGGAAAAAACCCATGCAGTATATGGGTCATTACAGAGATAAGTAGGAAGGGAGATTTGCCATCCCATGGATGTTGTTCTGACTTGTCTCCCACCTTTCAAAACAAAATAGATCTGATGCTTCTAAAATACTGGGAAAATACGGTCTAAATTCAGAAGCTGTGATATATTAAGTTTTGGCAAATCTTATCATGGTAAGTGCCTGGAAAGCTATTTAATAAACTAGGTAGGAGTCTCTTTTTCTGAGGAAGTTAGATATTCATGCTGGGTTAACAGTGAAAGGAAGAAAATCTTGTTCTCAAATGGGGTCATTTATAGGTCTTCCCCAAGGACAATACATACTTTAGGTTGGACAGTTACAGACTGTTAGTGTGCTACTTGAGTTTTCATTTTCCCGAGAAGTGTGTCTGGAACAAAGGTGGGTAGTCTGGAGTAGTTAGGGTAACCTTTCTGCGGAAGAGTATAGTTTTGCTTTGAGAAATGCATCAAAGAATAATAAAGTTATGGACATTTTTCCTTTATTACTGTACATACATGTCTTAACATTTTCTCATCTAAGAAAGAATGAAGTTCTCTGTGCTCTTGTGCACTTTTTCCATCCCCTTTTTGCCCAGAAGCCTAGTTGACTGCGGGGAGAAATTTGTGACCTCCGTCACTTTATAAAAACAGAAACCCTGATCCTCTAATGAATTTTTTGTGGTGCAAGAGTGCGTGCTGGTCTCGCGGTCAGAAATGAGATGAAAACATGATATGCTGAACAATTTGCTCTCTGTTATGTTTCTTTACTGCAACTGAGAAATTATTGTTGAATAGAACAATCTAGAACATTAAATGTAGTAGGTGGGCTGGAATTGCTGCTTTCTGATCTCTTCATTTTTCACCTTTATTATCAATTACAATTTGTGACTTCTTAAAATATCTTGTTTTCCACACTGTGCCTTCTCTCCCTTTTTTGCAACAGAATTTTCTTGTTTTGTATGGCAATACCATGTAACCAGGCAATTTCTATCAGCAAGCAGTTAACTCAGAATGTGTTTTTGTAAAATTGGTGTTACTTAAAGGTATCTTAACATGCAATGCTCCGCAGTGTTTTCCCTCTCAAAGCTGTGTGTGCAGTGGTACACATCCCTGGTGTAATCCAAAGATTGCCCTATGTGTATCACCTGCTGACCACCAAAAGCAGGAAATGAGAAACTGTGCTACTGAAATCTCTTTTCCTGCAGTTTTACCATCAGTATCGTTATTGCAGCCTGTGAGCTGCCAGTGCTTTCCTGGCCCCTCTTACCAAACATTCACAATTATATTCTGTGGTTGAATAGCATTTTATAATATGTCTTGTGGTGTCAGGTGTAAGGTAATTTTTGGATAAGTAAAGGAGGGGTGAAGTGTTTCAGGAGGATAGGAATAATGAAGAATTGATTTTGATGTTAAAATTCACCCAAGATGGTAAACAACAGACACTCCCCGTTTTGAAAGGCATGTTAAAATGCCTCTGTTGTACATCCTGTGTAAATAGAAATCCTGCCGTTCTGCAGTGGTACACATGTATATGCGTTTGCTGGGATACAGAACACTTTTATGACATTGGCAAACAAATACTGGATATCTGTTGGACAGTGTCACCATGCTGGGAAACTTAAAGAAAAAAAACATAGATGAGATTTCTAGCTTGATTGATACTGATTATTATTTTTGTCTACATTACCTAGATTTTCATTATAACTTCAGTTTGGGAGAAGCTTTGTTGTTGAAACAATAGTGCAGTGAATCCTTTTGACCTTCTGTATGATATGGAAGTTCTTCTAATACAAATGAGATCCTTTGAATAAACAAAGGTGAAGTAAAATGCATGGTTAGGAAAATGACTGTGCTGGGCCACAGTCCTAAATAAGCTTTGCTTAATTTGATCTCAGTGAGACCGCTCAGTTGGAGATAATGGGTTTGCAGTGGGGCTGTGTGTCAAGAATAAATCCGCAATGCATATCTTTACTGGTGAGGGCTTATATTTGTATTTTAGAATCATAGAATGGTTTGGGTTGGAAGGGACCTTAAAGACCATCTAGTTCCAACCCCCCTGCCATGGGCAAGGACACCTTCCACTAGACCAGGTTGCTCAAAGCCTCATCCAGCCTGGCCTTGAACACTTCCAGGGATGGGATATCAATGCCCCATTTTAAATGTGTGAGGAATTCAACCATTTTAAATGTGTGAGGAATCAAATGAAATGAGCTGAACATCACAAGATCACAGAATGGTTGAGCTGGAAAGGCAGCTCTTCAGATCAACTAGCCCAATCCCCCTGCTTAAGCTGGGCCACCTAGAGCAGGTTGCCCAGGACCATGTCCAGTCAGGTTTTGAATATCTGTAAGGATGGAGACTCCACAGCCTCTCTGGGCAATCTGATCCAGCATTTGACCACTCTCACAGTAAAACGGGTCGGGGTGGTGGTGGTGGTATTTAGATACCTGTAGGTATTGGTGTGGCTGAAGTTCCTCATGAGGGCCAGGACCTGTGAACCCGAAGCTTCTTCAAGTTGTGTGAAGAAGGCTTTATCTACTGCTTCTTCCTGATCAGATCCATAGCAGATACCCAGTACAACAGCACACATGTTGATCTGTCCACTAATCTTGACCCTAAAACTCTCCGCTGACTCCTGACCTGTTCCAAAGCAGGGCTTCGTGCATTCCAGCTGCTCTGTCACATAAAGGGCAACACCACTCCTCACCTTCCTGCTCTCCTTCCTAAGGAGCCTGTATTCCCCCACCACAGCATTCCAGTTGTATGAGCTATCCCACCGTTTCTGCATGATTCCAATGAGGTTGTAGCCCTGTAACTGCTCACAGCCTTCAAACTCCTCCTGTTTGTTCCCCATGTTGCATGCATTGGAGTAGAGGCCTCCAAGGGACATCCAAGTGTGCCAGTTGCACAGTACAGGCTTGAGCACCTTCCCCAACCCAGAGGCTGTTCTGCAGGTGCTTCCTTCTTTACATGCCCGTGCTCAGAGGAATTACACTTCAGCTCAGTCCCTTTGTGAACTGATGTCCCTTCTCTTCCTATCATCCCAGGTTCTTGGCTTGCCTACTCTCTCTCAAGCCTCCTTGTTCCCTACCCCATAATTTCTAGTTTAAAGCTCTCCTTATGAAGTTAGCCAGCCTGTTGGCAAAGATACTTTTGCCTCATGTAGTCAAGGGGATCCTGTGTCTTCCAAGTAGATGTTGAGCTTTAGAGAGAGTCATGTGGTCATAGAACACTCTGTGAGGCTTCTAATAATGAGCCTCATAACGTAACAATCCCAAATACAAGTACAGGCTCGGTGGAGAGTGGATAGAGAGCAGCCCTGAGGAGAAGGACTTGGGGGTGCTGGTGGAGGAAAAACTGAACATGAGCCGGCAGTGTGTGCTGGCAGCCCAGAAAGCCAACCGTATCCTGGGCTGTATCCAGAGAAGCGTGGCCAGCAGGGCGAGGGAGGGGATTCTCCCCCTCTGCTCTGCTCTTGTGAGACCCCACCTGGAGTGCTGCGTCCAGGTGTGGAACCCTCAACATCAGAAGGATATTGACCAGTTGGAGCGAGTCCAGAGGAGGCCACGAAGATGCTCAGAGGGCTGGAGCACCTCTGCTATGGGGACAGGCTGAGAGAGTTGGGCTTGTTCAGCCTGGAGAAGAGAAGGCTCCCGGGAGACCTTATTGCAGCCTTCCAGTACCTGAAGGGGCTACAAGGAAGCTGGGGGGGACTTTTTACAAGGGTAAGTTTTTTACCCTTTTGTCCTGTAGTGACAGGACAAGGGGTAACGGGTTTAAATTGAGAGCGGGGAGGTTTAGATTAGATATCAGGAAGAAGTTCTTCATGGAGAGGGTGGTGAGGCACTGGAAGAGGTTGCCCAGAGAAGCTGTGGATGCCCCATCCCTGGAAGTGTTCAAGGCCAGGCTGAATGAGGCTTTGAGCAACCTGGTCTAGTGGAAGGTGTCCCTGCCCATGGCAGGGGGGTTGGAACTAGATGGTCTTTAAGGTCCCTTCCAACCCAGACCATTCCGTGATTCTATAACAGTGACTTAGTCCTAGTAGAGAGCACAGCTGTGTACCTGCTCTTTTTGCCACGCAGGTCTCATTGGAGAACCTGTGTGTGTTTTTTCTGAAGGTCGTGGTCCTTAACTCTGATACAGTTGTTTGGAGGTGTCCCAAGTTGATTAATTCCAACCAAGACTCTTGACTGCTTCAGTGATCCTTGACATCACAGCAGCACACTACCCAGTCAGCGAGACATTGGTCAGACAGCTTGACTTCTGCTAATGAATGAGTTTGTGAGAGTGGCATTTTGGGACAAGCAGAACATCTGAAGGAC